TATATATATATATATAACATCTATCTAATTAGATTTAGTCAACATTGATTTTGACTAGTTTTCAAGCAAACTCAAATTTTACTTTAAATGTGACCAACCAAGGCGCCTGTTGAAGGTCCAAGCAATCCAACCTTGATAACTATGCCCATGGGAATTACAGTGACAGTCCAAAATAAGATTATTTAGACAAAACATGTCACAATAACCACTAGTCATCAAATCAAAAAATTGGAAGTTTAAATGTGCTCAAAATCTGTAAAAGCTTTTTTAAAATTGTAATATATATACAATAAGACTATTTATTTTTGGAATAAGGAGGTCACAATTATTATTGATCATTAGATATGAAATCGAGTGGTCGAGGATATGTCATTGACTAGGCACAAAGTCCAAAATGAAATTCCTCCAATATTGTTAGACACTTCAATTTGTCAGATTTCACATCCAACAGCAAAAAATAATCATAACCTTCTTATACCAAAAGTAAATAACCAATTAGTATACAATCCCTTTTCAAATTTCGTAGGAAATAAGGACACACTCCCAACTGTCTAATTTCACATTGAATGGCTAGATGTAACTATGACTTTTTATAAATGGAAAATGTTATGATAGGATGCAATCCGATCAAAATAAGTAATGCATCACCTCAAAACTCCCAAAAAATTATAGTTATGGCATCGAAAAACCTTCAAAATGATCATCTCAGCCTTGACCATGTGGTTGGAAAAAAACTTAAGATTTCAAACCCTAAAAATAGTGTATACTGTAACACATTACTGTCCATTTTGGCCTAAAAAATAGTTATCACATATCCACAAGATTTGTACCAATTTTTTAACCCCAAATTTCATAGTCTGCATTAAAAATTGATTTTAGAAGCATCATTAAAAAATTTGATGCCAAAAGTACTTTTTGGACGAGGATTCGAGGGGGTTTCGTAAAGCTAAACTGCATCCTTTATGAAATCTCTAGGGGCCATTTGTGACTGTTGATCATAAATAAAAGTTAATTTGGTCATTCAGAAAAAGGATGAAGTTTCGATAAAGCCTAGGCTTTATGAAAACAAAATCAAGCCCACATCAAATCCTCATCCGAAAAGCTCTTTCAGCAATAGAAATCTCTATGATCGATCTAAAATTAGTTTCCAATACCGATAATATGATTTGAAACTAAAAAAATGGTATAGATCTTGCGGAGCTATGAACATTTATTTTTAAGGTAAAATTGACAGTTTAGATAATCTATTACAATATACACTATTTTTAAAGCTTAAATCCAATAATTTTTTTCACAATCATAGTGTTCACGTCGAGATGATCGAGGTAAAGGTTTTTCAATGCTTGAACTGTATTTTTCAATGAGCTATTGGGTGAGGCTTTACTTATTTTGTAGCCCTATCGAACCATTTTTCTTTAAGAAATTAATTTAGTCATTTATGAAAGGGAAAAGTTTTAATAAGGTTGTAACCCCAAAATGTAGAATCATAGTTGCACCTTGAAAATCTATCAGAAATGTTGTTTAAATGTTGAAAAAACCCTCTAATCGATCATCTTGACATCAAGATGTTTGAATATGAAGAAAAAAAAAAAACGTTTTTGAGTCCCAGAGATAGTGCATTTTGCAACACATTATCTAGACCATTCATTTTCACGATTTTCATGTATTTATAGATCTACTTGATCTTAACCATTTTTGAATTTTAAAAATTTTTAATTAGGTATGAAAATAGATTTTAAGATAATACTAAAAAAATTTTACAACAAAATTACATTATAAAATTTTAGAGTGCGCCTTAATTGGATTGTTTATAGTTGCAACCTTATAGAAACAGCACCCTTTATGAAACTCGAGTGTTACTTTTTGTTATTTTATTTTGCAAACATTTTGTGCGCAGATCTTGCTGAACATTCTCTGCCCTAACTCCGAGAGATAACTAATATTCTTCGTCAAGTATTGTTACCCCTCTTATTTTGCATAATATCGAGATTGACACGGCCTATCTTTCACAGTAGCACACCGTATGCCCCTAGAACTTGCAAATTTATCGGAAATACCCATTTATCAGTGTTTTAAGGGTGCAATGGGGGAGTACCTCTCTATGAGTAAAGATATGGGGTGAGATTTGTATGAGGTGTCATTCTTATACTATTGCAGTAGTAAGGTGTACCTCAAAACTATGTCAAAAGATGATATCGGTGTCACAAAAGTTTTACAATGACATGAAAATCTATTCTTTCCCATAATTATGAAATTTAAAGCTTAAAAAACTTAAAAAATAATGCAGATCGAATAGATTTATATATATTTAATTTTTTTGAAAATGGTCCGTTTAGATAATACAAGATGAACTATTTACATGGCTTGAAATCTTTGTTCTTCTTTTTTTATATATTAAAACATCTCATAACCCATTTGAGGGTTTTCTAGCATTGGAATAATCTTCTCTGATGTTTCTTTAAGTGCATGTTACTTCCCATAATATAAGGTGGATATCTTATATAATTTTTTTTGAATATTTACGATGATCAAAAAATATAGAAGGCGAGGTTTTGGTGAGATTGCCACTTTATGAAATTCGGTGAGGCAGCATCTCTCAAAACTTGATAGAAAAATTAGGTTTGGTATTGAAAAATATTGTGATAGCCTGCAAATTCATTTCTACCCCTAATTGTGGTGTCTAAAGCTCTGGATATTATGCAAGTGCAATTGATCTATAAACAACAAAATGAACGGTCTTAAAAAGTATTGCAAGATGGACCTTTTTTAGGGTTTGAAATCTATTTTTTTATATTTAAGATCCTTTATCAGTTAGGTGGAGATGATCAATTTATAAATTTTCGAAATTAACAATGCATTTTCCAATAAGGTTGATATACAACTATAACTTTTCCTTAACATGAACATTCTTATGTAACTAAAATTTATTTAAAAATGAAAAATACTACATGTCTACAAGCTTATATCCTACATGTCTACACCCCACTAGAGGAGCAAGTGAAACAAGAGAAGAGTATGGCAGGAGGTGAACAACAAATGAAACATAGACTACTCAAGAGTTCAATCTTAGGCAAAGAAATGCTTATTTGTTGAAAACCAAATATTGATATGAATATAATAAGGCAAAATGTATTGTTATGTGATTTACTTTTTTATATAAAATCTCCATAACCACTGGCCATTAAATATAAAATTATCAAATGACTAAAGTAATACAAAATTCGAAAAAGATTTTTATAAGACTGTGAGCAAGATCAATAGCACACTCCCATTCACCAATTCCACATCTAAGTGTTAGGGCTGATTGTGACCTCATTTTATATTTGATCCCTTAGTAAACTGCATAGAGTGCCAATTAAGATCACTAATGTCTTGTAAGAATAATGATATTAAAAGGAACTGAAAATCTCACAAGAAATAGAAGGGTGAACATCATATTTCTCTATTTACTAGGGGTATTTTTGATGTTTGCTAAATTCAAGGGCAAAAGGGTATTAAGGATAATATGTTTTGCATGGGAATTACTTTAGGTATTTGAGAAAGTTATTGTATGCCACGTCATCAATCGTGTCTCGTTACTTTTGGTGTGAAGCAGTGGGCCCTTCTCTACTAAAGCGGCCTTTGCATGGAAACATTGGAAAGTGCTTCTTTATTTTCCATTATTTTTTTATTTTTAATTTTTATTTTCACTCTGTAATAAATAACTAACATTTTACTTTTCAGAAAAATTGAAGAATAGCAAAAAATAATAATTAATCTTTATCTCCCAAAAAAAAAGTTCAAAAAAAACAAAAGGAAAAGCCTTGGTTTTCAGCTACTACGAAGTTTCTGACAGTTGTTCTTCCTCTGAAATTTGTAATTCTCTGGTTTCTTTGAAAGGTACATACCAATTCTTCCTTTTTTTTTTATTTTAGATTCTGATTCAATAAAAAATATTATCTTTGATAAAATAATACCTTGTGATCTCTAAAGAATTCAGGAAGAAGTTGGAGTTTGTAGGTTGTAAAGGTGCAGGTTTTTCTCTCTCTTTGGGCCTTTCTTTCATTTAATTCATACCTTTGTGGAGTTCATTCAACAGAAAGAGGAATTGGGTACCTCGAATTTGGTTTTCTTAGGGCTCTGTTTAAGTTTTGTGATGGAAATATGGGGAGTTGAGCTGCAACCATGGAAGCATGAGGTTTGGGTCCCTTGAATTCTGATAAAATTTGAACCTTCTGGGCTCTGTTTCAGTTTTTTGTGGGAAATAAAGGGTTTTTGGTTCCTAATAAGGAGGTATGTGGATTTGGTTGCCTCGAATTCTTATGTAATTCGATGTTCTAATGGGTCGGCTGATATTTTTACTGTAAGTATGTGAAAATAATTATGGTGTCATGATGATTTTTTTGTGGTTTTCAGGCAATTGTTTTATATTTTTTCATTTTGATGAAGAGAAATGCTGAAAGTTCTGGTCTTTGAGGAAAATTCTTTGTTTTTTATGTACAATCTCATGAATTGAACATCTATTTAGTCTTTTGAAAGCAGCGGGCATCACTAGGCTTTCTATTTCAGTGTCTTGAGTTTCGGAATTGATAATAATCTTGAGTTCCTCCACCCCACAAAAACCAGTCCATAAGTTTTGGGCTCAGCTTCTTCTCAAATAAATGGCAGCTTTGGGTTCTAGAGTAGGCGATCAAAAGGCTTTACAACTATGCAAAGAAAGGAAACGCCTCATGAAACATGCCCATGAAGGGAGGTCTGCTCTGGCAGCTTCCCATGTATCATATATTCAGTCCCTTAAGAACATAGGAACTGCAGTTAGGCAATTTGTAGAGGTCGAAATCGTAACCGAGTCTTCCTTGAACACTTCGACTGCTGCAACTCCTGAGCCTCCTGCTCTAATCGAGAAGTCTCTCTCTGACTTCTCGATCCCATCTCCTTATCCAACTCAGCACATTGAAACCAATGAAACCCATTATTCTCCGACTCCTTCTTCACCGGATTCTGGCAGGTTTGGCCTGAATTACTCAAAATCTGGTGAAGATTCGACCGTTACCATTGAAGAACGGCCTCAATTTCCAGTCACTGTTGCGTCACAGTCTGATTCTGCTAGGCCCCATGAATCCATATTGAGACCAACTAGGACTTCAGAGCTTGTGACTTCAGTAAATACTTTGCTTCCTCCTCCTCCTCCTCCTCCTCCATCATATGATTTCTTCTGTCTAGGCAATGAAAACCAACTATCACCTCGTAGGGATCCGAGTGATGATAAAGAAATTTTTAGACGATTTGGAGAAAAAGAGGGGATTTCTGATTCGGATGAAGAAGGGGAGAAGATGGTTAGGAGGCCTCGAAAGACCTCATCTCTACCCCCGCTGAGATCATGGAAATGTTTTGACGAGGAGAGAGAAAGAGAATTCTCTTTTACTGAGAGGATTAGTGATGACGAAGAAGATATGCAGAGGCTTAGAACGGAAGAGGGGATACCTGAATTGGAGGAGGATGGGGAGGAGGGAAGGCTTAACATGGAAGGAATGGATCGAGAAAGTAGTCCTGTTCTCCATGCATTGAAAATTAAAAGGGAACAGGGTTCTCCTTCACTGAATCATAGGCATTTAAGAGGAAACAAAATGATTGAGAATGAATCAATTGGATCTAATGAAATGCCATACAAGGAAACTCAATCAGTGGGTTCAGTCGTTGGAGTTGCAATTCAAGCAGGAGATAAAGAAGCAGCTGAGACTCAAAGAGACTCAAAGATTGAAGTTACACCAAAAGATTTCTTGACGAGCATGAAGGAAATTGAAGGCCTCTTTGTGGATGCTTCTGAGTCAGGGAAGAAGGTCTCCAAAATGCTCGAGGCGACTAAATGGAGCTATCAATCAAGATTAGCCGAGGTAAAAGGTTGGTTATTTTGCTTCACTGATACCCTTCTCCATTTCTTTATGCAGATCTCTTCTTTTCTTTTGACAAGAATTTCTGAAGCAACTGATTTCTGTTATATTCAATTAAATTTTCACTTTTAATAGTATCTTCCATTACTTTTCATTCTTGAGCACAGGGTAACCAGTCTTAACATTTTCAATTTTTGTGGCTGGGCAATCTTCCTAACCTTCTGAACTCTTTTTGAGATCTAATGCACTATCAAGAATCCTCCACACCTTCATACGTACCTAATAAAAAGTAGATTTATGTTTCAACATGTGGAGAAGTATACAATAACCATTGACCTTAGGTACAAGGAGGTCACAATTGCTCGTCTATTGGATGTTAAGTTGGGTGGTTAGAGGTGTGTTATTGAGAGGGCTCGAAGTCCCAATTTATTTTTTGTAAACTTTGTGACATCCCCAAACTATCAGATTTTTCGTTTGATGGTTAACGCTGATTGTGACCTCCTTGTACCAAAAGTAATGGTCTTATAGTATACAATCCCTTGACTTATAGACAAATGTTTGTATGCGTAAATATGAAGCTTGAATATCAAATAAAGATTTCTATTCTAACATGCCTATCTGTATCTATATATTTACATGGGTCAAGACCATATATATATATTTGAAGTTTCAGGTTTTATGAAGTTACATGGGTCAAGACCATCTATTCATTTATTTATTTATTTGAAGTTTCAAGTTATAACTAGATGATTATCTTCAAAGAAAAAAAAACTAGATTTTGAGTTCATAAACATCTAGATCAATCCCTCCAAAAATTGGACAGTTCTGGTTCAATCTTGGGATGATATTTTTTTAGGCACATAGAGAGTGACAGTTAAAATTTGTTTCCTCATTTGTTTGTTTCTAGAGATCACATCTGCAAAATTTGATATATAAAAGATATCCCTAGAGTAAGTTTTTCCCAAAGGAGTAAATGGATAGCATACTCCCGTAGGAGTAGGAAATCTTTTGACTATATATATGTGTGTGTGTGTGCGCGCGTACACGCATGTGTGGGTGGGTAAGATTTGTATAAGGTGCCCATCTTATACCATACAACACTTGTAAAATTTGCCGAAACATGTAGTTCCAATGTTGGAAAACTTGAGATGGTTTGAAAATTCATATTCAACCCTAATTATGAAATTTAAAATTCTAAAAATAGTGCCGAACTAGCAGACCTATAAACACTTAAAAATCTTGAAAATCGACAGTCCAGATAACTAGTTACAAGATGCATTATTTTTAGGACTTGAAAATCTTTTGTTTTTCTATATTCATACATCTTGTAGTTGAGATGATCAATTAAAAGACTGCCAAGCTTCATAACACTCTTTTCTATTGATTTTCGAAGTACACCTAACGTTTTTAATATAAAGTTGTAACCTCATATAAACTTTTTATAGCCCAAAGTTTGCAACACACAGTCTTTTCATCCCAACAACAATCCCAAAAAGCAAAACAAAAATGAACTTCCACAAAAAAAAGCTCAAATTGAGTCACGCAATCTAGAACATGTATTTGGACAGACACACATTCTTTTCGTCCCAACAACAATCCCAAAAAGAACAAAATGAACTTGCATGCAGAAAAGGTCAAAATGAGTCCGGTAATCTAGACCATCTGGTGGGCATTGAGGTCTAGGCTTGTAAGAACTCAAAATCATTTTAGTTTTTTGTTAAATTGTTTATATGATGATTATGAGGCCATATACGAATTTGGGGGTAAAAAAATCCCTCTAAGGCTTAGATACAACTCTCGTATCAAATGGGCAACCTACGGTTGCTGTGTTAAAGAATCCATTTGTTAGGGCTCGTTTTCTTTTTCTTTTTCTTTTTTTTCTTGGGTAGATGAAAGGAGTATATGTTTAAAATTTGGGGTCAAACAAATGCAACTAACATGGTTCTTGAAGGTGCAGCCTCATTATATTACTATAAAATTGTTGCATAAAATCACTCTCCATGCATACATAGATACATACATACATAAATTTTCATTCTTTGTTTCTCTTTATCAGTCATTTTATGCCCCACCTTGGATTTCTTTGGTCTTGAATTTTTTAAACTGAACTTAAATGGTAATTCCTAATGAAAATTTTTGGATTCAGCACGTAAATCACTGGCATCTAAACTTCTCTCATCATGTCTAGAATGTTGGAAGGGGGAGCCTCCACTAGTTCCACCAGGTATGCTCTTGTGTTAATTTGGGCCGCTTTATGATATATTGAGAATCAATTTGATGCCTACATCGATTTCACTGGTTATATCATATTTTATAATTGATGAAGAATTTAGACATGGTGAAAGGCATTTTATTTATTTCTGGAAAATGAGGCAAGTTTTGAATGTTACATGGAGACTACAGGGAGAGCATGGCACTTATCAAATTTTATAAGAGAATAAATGAATGCGTACTATCAGTACAACATGTGGCACGTCCGCTGCATTGAATAGTCATTACAGCTGGGAGAATATTTGTAGTTTAAGTGCCACAATATGAAAAGAAAAAGAAAAAAAAGACACACATTACATTCTTAGGCAGAAAATACTGGCTCCTCATAATAAAAACCGATATTCATAGTAACCACTATATTGTGCTTATATATTTTGCTTTATTCTGACACATTTGGTATGGAACCATCTTTGTAGAACCTGTTCCCAGTGGCGTGAAGTTCCTAACCTGGCATAGGTCGGGATCATCTCGCTCTTCATCATCCAGATATCCTATTGGCATGACCGCAAAAGATGAAATGGATGACAGCAGCAGTGATCCTATTGAAGATTTTTGCATGATTTCAGGGAGTCATGCATCTACTCTCGACCGACTTTTTGCATGGGAGAGAAAGCTTTATGATGAAGTCAAGGTTTCCTTCATTTCCTTTACTGGCTTACACTTGTTTTACTTTTATGCCATGAATGAGTAGCATACGCTGTATTTTAATGAGCTAATGTTTACATGTATGTATTCAAATAGACAAAAACATACATAAAACTACATTCCTTTCTTATAAGAAAAGATGATTCAGAAACCTTATTTTGGATGATAATTTGTGAATCTGTTTCAGTTTTCAAAATATTGGAAACATGTCTCAATAACAACAAAACAGAGAGTAATACTGGAAAAAGAATCATACTTTGAAGGAAATATTGTCCTGTTTGGCTTTCTATTTGGAAGCTGTTGTTGAATACTTAGGAATAAGGAGAACCACTTAAGGAAATTGAAAAGTAAATCTTAGCGTGTACCATGTACCTATAATTCTCCTTCAGTAATTATCCACTTTATGATGGCCCTTCATTTGACTTGCCTATTGTTTTCACACAAAAACACACAATCCACATTAGTAGTGGAGGCCTGTATAGAGATTTGAGAACACACTTTGTTTACTCTTTCTTTCATAAATAGTTGCATACCACATGTACACACGCACACAGTTGTTTCAAATTTCTATATATTCAGATATGGATGACATTGATGTACCAAAATTGTTCTCCAGTAGATGAAGTCATGTTTCCAAAGTGAATCAAATCATAACATTCTGATTCACAGAAAACAAGTATAGGATTGTAGGAAATGTTATTTTCGCTATAAATGTTGAACCTCGATGGAAATACAGTTCCAAGGGTTGTTAGAGACCAAACAATCTTCTGGAGAGGAAGTTGCAAAGCAATAAAAAGTAGGGATATAAGCTCGGGTACCTTTGATTTGTGAAACCAGTGTTACGTGACTTGCCCTAGTCAACTCGAACTTAGGCAAGTAACTCGGCCTCTCCCTATGGGTAAGGCCGAGTTACCCCGAGTTGTGTGTACTACTTGGAGCACATAAAAAAAAGTTAAAAAAAAAACCCAAAAATTGTTTTAAAAAATATGGGACTGTTCTATAAATGTTTTCTATATATAATTTGGATTTTTTGGCAAAGATTGTTGAGTTTTTTTTGTTTTTTGGCATATTTCTATATTTCTATATTTTATTTTTTTATTCTTTTAATTTCCCCAACTATAAATCATTTGTTTGAAATTCATTTTTTCTATACGTTTTTAAGCTTATTTGGAGTTTTAAGGTTGTTTTTGGCTATATTTAACTTTTAGTAGCTTCATTTTTTATTTTTCCAATTTTTTATTTTTTTTCAATTTATCTAGGCTTTTGGCCCTGCACAGGACTCAAACTCGATCGAGTAACTCGCCTCAGCCAGGAGTCCCTCGGCCGAGGCACGTTCCTAATCATTGTGTGAAACAGAGAAAAAAATGCCATGTTTTCAGTTAAAGCTTAGAAAAGTTGGTTAGCTTTCTCTCATTTTGTTCTAGGATTTTTTCTATTCGTGGGTCATTTATGGCATGCGGGAAGGGCCTGTGCAGCTGCAGCAGGATTTGAAAAAGGAATCGATCTTGATTTTGATCATGTTCTTTCCATGACTCCTCTTAACCGAGACAGTAGATCAAATAGATGAAGTAAGAATCAATTTTGATTCCACGGTACATATTTGGATCAGGTAAGACTTAAAAAAAAGTTTTCGCTTTTTTTTCAACTCATTTCTATTTGTGGCTCGGCTATTCCCCCTAGTCGAGCCTTCTCCTTTATGCATGTACTGGCCCAGCCCAAACCAAAAACCAATAAAGAAATATTCAACGAACAAAAGGAGAGAGAGGGATTCGAACCCTCGATAGTTCTTTGTTCGGAACTATACCGGTTTTCAAGATCGGAGGTATCAACCACTCAGCCATCTCTCCCAGAGACAATCTCATGCTTTTGAAGACAAATACCATATTTTCAGTTAAATTTAGCATAGGCAGTTAACCCATGGAGAGGGTGCCCGCAGATGGGTTTGTGGAAAAGCAATCATCTGAAGGCCACTCTATGTTTGAGAGACACTAGATGTTTTGGCTTATAGCCATGAGATAAATGTATGCTCTTGGAGTGGGTCACTTTAATATGGAGTTTTGTAGGCTTATTATGTGATTTCTTTATGGAAGTAAATTGTTTTCTACTTAGTTGGGTGGTTAGTTCGGTATTGGAGATTTAGGGGGTTTGTGAAAGATAAATTGCTATCATTTTACTCCTGAGCATAAGCTTGATAATTTGTTCAATTAGAGAATCATGTTTTAAAATTGTTTCTCAAGCATTTTCATGTGGAATTAATAAGATCTAGTTGTTCGTTTTGTCGTTAGAGTTACAATTAGAAGGTTGTAGGCCCTGGTACCTCTACTATTACTCCTAAATGGAATTTCTGATGTGGGTTTTGCACTTATAAATGATATGCCGTGCTTTTCTGTTTCTCTGTCTTTTCCTATCCTCAAATGTTTGCCAGATACTTTTTAGTTCATACAGTTGTGAATTTTTAAGTTGTTAGAAATACTTTTATAACGAACAATAGGCAAAAGAGCTTGTCTAGATTCTCTGATGTTTATCTGTACTTGTAAACTCTTCTTTGAACTTTTTAGGCTCTCGATTTCATTGGGAAGGAGTATAAGAGGAAATGCACACAACTTAGACACCAACAAGCGAGGGATGAAAATGAAACGAAAGTCAATGCAACACGAGCTGGTGTTAAGGAGCTCTATTCACGGATCATGGTTTCTATTCATGTGATCGAATCCATATCAAAGAGAATTGAAAAGTTAAGGGATGAAGAGCTGCACCCGCAACTTCAGGAGCTCTTTCAGGGGTATTTTTTTCATTCGGTTCTCCTGCTTCTTTTTCTTCTTCATCATCATCATCATCATCTCTCTCTCCTCCTCCCCTCACCCACCCCCCCCCAAAAGAAAAAAAGGAAAACAGATGATAGGTATTAACTATACTGATTCTCTGATCTCCTATTATTATCTCAGTTTGCTTGAAATGTGGAGTACAATGCATGAGCGCCACAACCTTCAACTTCAGATAATCTCAGTAGCTTATGTGACAGTAAGCTCCACACTTCCAGTGCAATCTGAACATCAGCAGCAAGCAGCTGCTCATCTCGAATTTGAGCTCTATTCTCTCTCCTCAAGCTTTGTGAAATGGATTGAATCCCACAAATCTTATATTCTCTCTCTCCATGGATGGCTCATGAAGTGTATCTTGCCCCCTCAAGAGAAGTCTAGTAAGGGGAGGAGATCAACGTCTTGGTCAGGCAGGGGTCATCATCCTGACCCCCCCATATTTGTAATGGTTCGTGAATGGTCGGAGTCTCTCAAAGCCTCTCGGGTAAAGGAAGTCGCAGATTCCATCAAAGAATTGGCAGCAAAAACCCATCAATTTCTACCAACCCAAGATGACAATTCTCGAAACAATTTGAAGAGAGTGATCAGTAAAAGCTCTTCATCATTGGGTTTGAATAGAACTTTGTCTTACCCTGCTGGAAATCCTGGCTTGAGTGGCTTTCGATCGAGCTTGGAGCCCATGTTTGAGAAGTTGAAAGCATTCTCAGATTCCTCAGTAAAAGAGTATGAAAGAATAACTAAAGAGGTCGGGCACGCTCGAAAAGTTTATGAAAGTGGGACAAAGCGGATGTATAGTAATGGAAGCACTGGGAATGTGTCTATACATTGATCAATAACAAGAAGGCCATGCTTTTATTCTCTCATGTTATGTTTGAGGAGTTATTAAAAACATGCTTTGGGTTCTTCAACATTGGACCCATGAATTTACTGAAACTTTTGTAAGTAGTAGAAGGAGAAGGGAGTCTGTGAAGTAAATTGATATGACATTCACTTATCTGTATTGTATTTGTTTAGAGTACCCACTTGAATGGCCCATTTCAACTATGATGCCCTATGAAAAGGAGATGAGACGATGATCTTACTATCATGCATATGTTATTGTTATCATACCAATCCCTGACTCAAGTGGGGTTGCTAAGAGTTTTGGTTGTTATTGTGATTTGTAGGTATGCAATGCTTGATTTTTAGTTTGTAAGAATGTGTTCATATGTACTATGTATTTATTCAAGTCAAAATAAAGAGTTTTCCCTCTCTCTCTCTCTCTCTCTCAAAGAACTGAAAAAAGTATCCTTAATTATTGAAGGCTTAGGAAAGGGATTGGGTCGTGGTGGTAGCACCCCATACCTAGTTACCACTTTGTGGTTTCCAATCCGGCATACATCACCCACTAACACCGTAAAAAAAAAATATTCTATATGAAAAAACTGATAGGGGCCTCTCTTCCCCATTAAATTACCCAAAAAAAGAAACAAACATAGAAGGCTTAAACTAGTTGAGGGGATATGAGAGTGGGCTTAGGGTAGGTGACCTAAAGAGAGCATAAGCGTAGGACAATTGGAAAGTTTGGGATATTGGATGATAGGAGTGTTGGGTCTCCTTTGAACCTAACCAAATCTTTTTCTTTTTGTATTGTCTCTCTCTATTTGAAAGATATGGTTTTTATAAGTCCATGTACAAATGAATCACCTCTTAAAAATCTTGAAAACAAAAATAAATTTTGAAAACAAAAATATTAATTCTATTAAGATAACATTTGAACCATTAGTTTCAATTGTTTTTAGATGGACCACCTATTTGTATCCATCTTTAAGATGGATACTTTATGCCTCGGGGACCGTAAATGTAGAATGCAGCCCCGCCGTATGAAACAATTTTCCCTATTTGAATAAACAAACCATTACCTCTTAATTCAAATCAAAGGATGGAGATGGTATGAGGGATTTTAAAAGGGGATACAAATCTTAAGGGATATTAATCTAGTAGAAAGCATACGACAAGGCGATTTATCTTTCGCACAAAAATGTCACAATTACTATTAGCTGTAAGATGTGAACTGGGCAAGTTGAGGATATACTATTCCCTATACTTGAAATACGGAAAATTTATTCTCAAAGTTTGTATAGAGAAATGGCATGTTTAAGCAATCCAATTCGACACCCGACAATGCTACCATTTTAAACAAAAGGTAGTAGTCTCATTGTATACAAGGGAAATGTTTCTATACTTCCCCTACAACATTGAAGATCTATGCTTTCTCTACCATCCGGCCATCCAATTTTGATTAAGTGAGTCACTCACCGTTTGATCCTAGATCCGATGCCTCATAGCATTTTAGTTTTAATGTTTTTAATACAAATTGTATGAATATCAAATTCGATACATGCCATCTTCTCATTGACGCGCACCTATAAAAATTTTAAAAATAAATTTTTGATAAAATATAATGACCAAAATACCCTGTGAAACTTTCATGGGTATTTTAGTTATTTTATTTTATTGGGAATATTTTTTTCTATTTTTTACAAACGCGATTTTAATAGAGGATTGGACACCCAAAATTTGGTGTCAAAATATTTTATATAAAAAATTAAAAATAAAATAGTGTAGAGACATGACATTGTGATTGGGACAATCTTAGCCCTCCATTCATAATGGACGGTTGGATAAAAGGAAGCATATAAATTTATGTTGTAGGGAAAGCATAGAAAGCTTGCATTGTATACAATCCGTTACCATGAATGCATCTTTGGATATATTTGAAAATCTTCCAAATCTTTTTTTAAAAATTAAAGATGAAAATCAACTTTAAGAGAGAGGTAAGAGATGCCGCCTTTCGCATTAGTCAATAACCATTGTGCTCCATCTATATGATGAATTTATTTTCTAAAACTATCAATATCTTTTGTTCTTTTTATGAGCATTAGGTTAGTTGTCTATCAGTAAAATTACGAATAAATCCAGTTTTATTTTTATAATTTAATATTTCAGGTCTTCAAAGCTTGTTATACTTCTCCGTATTTATTGTGATCATTTGAGATACTTTTCACTAAATATACAGTCTTTTTTTATATATGATTTCCCGAGATTGAGAATTTATTAAAAAAGATTCATCATCATTTTCAAAACATTTTTCCAACTAATTGGGGTTGGCTAGATGAATCATGATCCACCATTCTGCTCTATTAAGGGTCATACCCTCACTAAGGCTATAAATCTTCATATCTTTTTAGGATTCATGATAAGTTTTACAAAATTTTACAGCATGAACTTTACTAAACACACGTCTGTCCAGACTGGTTAAGGAAAAGTTGAAGGTTCTCACCCTTCTTGAAAACAAAAATTTAAAACCAATGGGGGATTATATGATGTTCGTGGTCATTTAATCACTTGTTCGTAATACTTTATTAAAAAGAAAATAGTTTGATAGGGCGGTAGCCTATCAAATAAGTGGAACCTCACTTTTTAACTCAGCCAAAATTGTAATTCAAATATTAGAAAACCTTTATATCGATCATCTTAGCTTGATCATCATAGTTGTGAAGAGAAAAAAGGTTTCAAATTCTAACAATATGGTTATCATAACAAATTATCTAGACTGTTCATTTTGCCTTAAAAATAGGTATTACTATTTTTTGAATTTCTAATTTCAGTGTTACTAATTAAAATTGATTTTAGAGCCTAGAGATTTCCATCATCGAAGGTACTTTTTGGACTATGATTTGAGACAAGGCTTTATTTTGTTTTCATAAAGCCTAGGCCTCATATAAACGAAACACTTTATATAAGTGCAAGGCTCTAAACAAACAAATTAAGGTGCACCTCAAAAATTTTATTAGAAGAAGTTATTTTGGTGCCAAAAAATCATCAAATTGAACATCCCGACATCAAAATGCATGGACATAAGAAAAAAAGAATGAAAAGATTTCAACTTTTTGGAAATAGTTAATTGAACATCCCGACATCAAAATGCATGGACATAAGAAAAAAAGAATGAAAAGATTTCAACTTTTTGGAAATAGTTCACCTTGTAATTCATTTTTGAGCATCAATTTTCAAGTTTTCATAGATTTGCTTGATCTACACAAGTTTTGAAGCCTTAAAATTTATAAATTATATATAAAAATACATTTTAAAGTTATCATAATGATTTCCAATATTGAAACCACATTTTTTTACCCTATGTGAAGGTGCGCTTTACTTTAATTGTTTAGAGCCTCGGCCTCATAAATGGTATAGGTAGTAAACACATGGTTAGCGGAGCATTCAATCTGCAACTCTCCTCGAACGCATCGATCCTTCTTTCATTTTTAATGTCTTCCCTCCAATTCTTCACCTGCAAAACCTGACTTGAAAACAACTCCATTTCTTGAAGGTTAAAATCTTCATCAACTCCATTTTTCGTGCAATTTCTCTCTTTTTTTTTTTTTTGGTTCTTTTTCCCTTATGTTATGTTAGTGTTTGCTATGTGAATTCACATGCTTTCACTTGATAGATGGAGATTCATAGTTTGAAATTTTCTTGGTTTTTTCTCAGGTTTGATTTACTGAGCTTTGCATTTAGCCATGGATGCTTTGATCCAGTGCAGATCATTCTGCTCTCCATCAGTAAGTCAGCTCCACTGTTGCTTGTTGCATTTATTTCTCCATTTTCGTAGAAATTTTTTTTTGTGGGATTCAGTGAACTGTGCAGCTTATTAGGACTTGAAATATGTTTAATGGTTTGAATTTGGTCGCATATATGGCAGTAGGTTTCTGGATTTGTCAATGTGGTTGGATTTTTTTTAGCTTATCATCAGTTGATCTCTCTCTATTTCTTGCCCTTTTCTAAATTCTATAATATAAACTCCAGGTTCGATTTAGGCAGTTCCAGGTTCGTTATATTGTGTTGTATATCTTGCATTGATCTTGAAGCCTCTAGTTCAAATCCTCAGTGCATGCAACAAACGAAAAGTTACAGAAAAGTGTTAAAAAAGGAAAAAATTAGGAAAACTGTGGAATAACGTCAAACATTTATATATGGGTGCAGTTAGCTTACGGATTG